CTGCAGTTCCTACTATCTCAGAGGATAGGTAGAGATGGGCATTTTTCAGATTGGAGAAGATTTGAAAGTGGTGGTCCCTACGGATCAGTGTTGGGACCCTTACTTTTTCTGATTGATATAAACGATTTGGAAATTGCTGTTGAGGGCAATATCTCTAAATTTGCAGATAAGCTATGGACAAGTGAATTGTGAGGATGATGCGATTTCAGAGGGATTTTAACAAGTTGGCCAAATGGGCAGACACCTGGCAGATGAACTGCAATGCAGAGAAATGTGAGGGAATGCATTTTGGTAGAAGAAATACAAACAGACAATATAGGCTCAATGGTACAACTTTGAGGGGAGTCTAGGAACAGAGGGACCTTGGGGTTCACGTGTATACGTTTTTGAAGGTGGCCAGGCAAGACAAAACAGTTATTAAGAAGATTTATAGGATCCTTGGGTTTGTAAACCGAGGCATGGAGTATAAAATTAAGGAAGTGATGCCACACCTCTACAAATTATTTGTCAGACCACAGTTGTGCACTCTGGGCATCTCATTTAAGGAAGGATGCTAAAGCCCTGGAAAGAGTGCAAAGGAGAATAAATAGAATGATACCAGAATTAGGCATTTTAGATACAGGAAAGATTAGAGAAAGTGGCCTTACTATCTTTGGGCAGAGAAGATTATGAGGTGACCTTACTGAGGTGTTCAAAATTATTAATAATTTTGATAGGGTAAAGAAGGATATTCTGTTCCCACTAGTTGTTACATCTGTAACCAGGAGTAACAATTTCAAGACTGTCAGTAAGAGAGCTAGGGGTGAGATGAGAAGAAACTTCTTTAGTTGTTAGGATTTGAAATGCACTGCCAAGGAGAATGGTGGAGGCAGATTCCACACAAGTGTTTAAAAGAGAGCTGGATATATATTTGAAAGTGATGAATTTAGAGGGCTACGGAGATAGCAGCAGAGAATAGGACCAGCTGGGTAGCTCCTTCTGGAGCCGGAATGGACACAATATGTCAAATGGCTTCCTTCTGCACTGTAAAATTCTATGATTCTGTAAGTCAATGGGATTCAGAGGAAAACGCAGCTAGTTGGAGTCATACCTACCACAAAGAAAGATGGTTGTGGCTATTCGTGGTCAGTCATCTCAGCTCCAGGACATCACTGTTGGAGTTCCTCAGGGTAGTGTTCTTAACTGTCTTCAACTGCTTCAATGTCCTTCCCTCCATTATAAAAGGTCCAAAGTACGGATGTTCACTAATAATTGCACAATGTTCTGAACCATTCATGACTTGTCAGGTACTGAAGCATCTCATGTCCATTTGTAGCAAAACCTGGACAACAACCAGGCTTGGACTGCTAAGTTGCAAGTAACATTTGTGCCACACAAGTGCTGGGCAATGACCATCTCAAACAAGAAAGATTCTAAGCACTTCCACTTGATATTTAATGACATTACCAGTACTGAATCCCAACTATCAACATCCTGGCCTAGACAGCGACACCCATATCCTGTGAATGAATAAAAAAAAAACCTGGAGGGTCAACATTTGGCCAGAAACTGAACTGGACCAGGTAAATACATACTGTGGTTACAAGGGGCTCTGAATTCTGCAAGTACTTAATTTCCGGGCTCCCTATGCAAATCACATGCTAGGAGTGTAACGGACTATTCCCCCTGTGCCTGGATAGGTTTAACTCCAACAACATAGAAGATGCTCAACATTATCCAGGAGAAAACGGCCTGCTTGATTGGCATTTCATTACCCACTTTCAATATTCTCAGCCATCACCACTGACACAAGGGCAACAGCTTATGTTATCTGCAAGATGAACTGTAACAACTTGCTACAACTCCTTTGGTTACAATTTCCAAACCTACAACTTCTACCACCAAGATGAACAAAGGCAGAAGATGCATGGGAATACCGCTAAATGCAAGGTCCCCTCTCAAGCCACACAGCAGCCATGCCTGGAACTTTATTGCTGCTCCTTTACTGTCACTTGGTCAAAATCCTGAACAATACCCTGGGTATACATATACCTCAATACAAGGAGGCAACCTATACCACCTTGTGACAGACAATTATTGATGGACAGCAATACTGAGAAGCCATGAAAGAATTCCAAAAAAATCCTTTCTAACTGCATTGTGAAGACTTCCTTGGTAATAGGCTCCAGTGTTCTGTTCTTGACTAACAGCCAACTGGCCTAAGGTTTGCAATTTCCTTCCTTTCTTTAATAGGTATGCTTTCTAGCTTCCAATCTGCTAGGATTGTTACAAAATCTAGGGAATTTTGGAAATTACAGCCACTATCTTCATTAACTCTGCAACTCTCTCCCCGAGTCTTGGGATGGGGAGCATTAGCTCCTGGGGAATTGCCAGAATTTCATCCCTCAAGTTTTTCCACTGATATTAATTCCCTTAATTTTACCCTCTATTTCTTGTACGTAACTACATCCACTTTGAATAACAGACATTGGTTCGATGTCTGCCATTTTCTCATATTCTGCTTCCAAAGGAACAGCATTTACAATATCTACTCTTTTCCTTAGATTTACTTTTAGATTTCATTCTCACAGTCTGTTATTATATTTCTGGCTGGCTTACTCTCAAATTATGTTTTTTTTCCCCCTTTTTAATCAACGTTTTTGGCCTTTACGCCCGATTTTCAGACTAAACACTATTCTTTGTAGTATTGTAAGCCTTTTTCTTTTCATCTAGTATGAACTTTAACTACCTGAGTGAGCCACAGATAGGCTTTTCTCGCTGAGTTTTTGTTTTTCAAATGAATGTACTTTTTGCTGAATATTTTGAATTGTTCCTTCAAATGCATGCCAGTGTTTATTTACCATCACGCATTTTAGTCTGTTTGCCCAATGAAGCTTAGCCACTTCTCATGTCTGTGCAATTGACTTTGTTTATGTTTAAGATTCTTGTGATTGGATTACATCATTTAATGAAAAATTATGCTTAGAAACTTGGCTTTTTCATCAATAATCAACATTACAATTGATAACAACTACCCAAGAGCAAAAGGCATGGCAATAAAACATATTTCATTAGAAAAAAATTAAATCTTAACACTTATTTATATATTAGAATAAATCTATAAATTGTAGTTAAAGAATAATTCACAGAAATGCTTATAGAGGAAGATTCATCAAAAAGAAAAATGCCAGTACATACCCGTACAAGAGCATCATCAATTATATGATCACGCCGTACTTTAAGTCGCAAATAAGGCTGAACCTGTTGTCCTTGTACCAAATTGTGTAGCACAGTTATACGTCGTTCACTAAACATTCGTATTCTGTTGTCATAATAGAGGCCTTGGCTTTTTGTATAAGGGGTGAGGAGGAATGGACATGTCAAGAAAGAAAACTTCTTTTCACTGTCTACTTTAAAAAATATGTAGTCTTTATCCATTGCAAGAATATTGTTTAATGACTCGTTAACAAATTCATCATAAGATATCACTGGTCGACAGCAGTCAATAGCCTTAAAATTAAGTTCTTTTTCCAAAGGGTCCACCCGGGGACCCTTCTTGTAACGGGTGTCCTCGATCAAAATGCTCTGATGCAAATTTGCCTCAATGTTATCTTGAGGCAATTCTTCATCTTCATTCTCAGTGGTTAACAGGCCACCCAGCAAATTTGCATAGTACACCAGTTTTAGACATTTGGCTGCTGCAACTGCCGTGTCATCTTCATTTACCAAATTTCGACAACTGTAATCATTGCTTATAACCTTGAATGTGATAAGCTGCTGAAAGACCTCAACCATTCTGCGGATATCACTAGAAGTGTATGTTGACCACAGATGTATCAATTTGGCTTGTGCTGACAAAGGAAGCTTGCACATTGCTTTACAGAACATTGGTAAGGCTCCTTCCAGATACTCAGGGCTATGTAGGTTGTGATTTTCCATAACAATTATGAACAGGTTTAGGTAGTTTGAATCCTTAGTATATGCATTATGATAACTTAATTCACATTCCACATCTGGTGATAAATACATCAAAGCATTAATCAGTGCAGTTTCTATCCGGTTATGTGACAGTAATTTTTTGTAGACCCTTCGAACAGATTTCACATCAACAGTTAATTCTTCAAGGTTAAATGACTGCCCAACACAATCACAAAGTTTCTGTTGCGAGCAACAAGGTGCTGAATGATCACATTCCATTATTGTTTGCATTCCAGCACTTTTTTCCAAATTATCCGGTGTATTTCCTGGTAGACAACTCAAGCAATTTCTCTTTATCTCAGGTTTCCTAAAACTCTTAACTAGTGTTTCTGAATGGGAGAATATTCGGCCTATAACATGGACCAGTGGTGAGAAGTCTCCAGTTTCGTTGCATACACTGAGAATTTCGTCCACTTTTTCTTCAGTAAGGTAGGTTATACCTAGCAATAAAAATGTCATTAGATCAGAGAATAAGCAACATAGTTCAAACATTACTTTCCTTCCCTATTAGATAAATAATTATGTTAAATCTTTGAACCAAAACAAGTTGTTCTATTTTGCAATCAAACTATTCCAATTTCTGAACATATTTCATGATTATCAGTAGCATTAGACAGAGGCACTGTCAAGAAGAGTTACTATTAACTATAGGATGAAGTTTAAACAAATATTTAGTATCTTAGGTCATCAAGCTTCTGAAGACCTAAGCAACTGCAAATGAAAATTTGCAAACACAACTTTATAAAAACAAAAGAAAAAAAGACTTTTTGGATAATCTTGGTACCAGTGAAGCTTAAAATTGATTAATATAGTCTGTTCTATAATATTTTACAACTTTTTTTCCCTCATTAGGAAATGAAAACAAATGGGATCATCAGGAAAAAGCCAACCTCGAGTTAAGGGGTACAAAAGAAATACGAAACAAAACCTGCATGAACTACAAAATACATGAAATATGACAATATGAAACCATCACCTGCACATTCAAGACTAAAACTAGTAAATCATGCAAAAAAATGTTACTTCACCCAGGAAGCACATGAACAGCAGAAGTGACAAGTTCACTTTGAAGAAAAGGCACTCCTGGTACAGGAATTTCCAAGTATACTTACTTCCAGAAATACTCCACATGATAGAATGTAAAAACAAAAATCAACATGTTTCAAGACGTTTACTTCAAGGACTTCTCTAGAGGTCAGAAGATCTACAGTATGACATTTCAACAACTTTCAGGAATGGAGGTTACAAATGTTCTGATTTTGTTTTAAGAAAATGCAAACTTTAATGCACAAAGACAATTGAGATTAATGACTAAGCAACCGTTGCCTCATAAGTGCAATTCCACTTCTATGCTCCTGGAATTGGTTGCCTCTAAAGCTAGAGATGGAAGACTTTGACATGAAAATATATGAGTTCCTTAATTAACATTCTTGGAGGGAAAACCACATATGAAATTCTACAGCAACCTAACCACAGATAAAACAGTAGAAGGTCTGGTATTTTGTCTCATGGAGTTTCAATGTTGCAGACAACAAACACTATCAAGACAAAACAATAATTTTTGAGTTCCCCTGTACTAATAAAATCATACTTGAAAAATACTGTTTTCAAATTTAAAGAAATTAGAATTATAACTTATAATAATTATTATAAATAACAAAAGGAAAAGGGGATGCACAGAAGGCCAGCGTTAAGAGCAATGAAATGGGGGAGTTCTAGGTCTGTAACAGGTGAATTAGAAATAGAATTAGATATTATTGTCACGTGTACTCAAATGCAGGGAAACAGGAATAAAGGGAAAGAGAGGCAGGGACTGGCAAGGACATGAACAGATTTAAACGAACTGGAATTTTAGACAGTAAATTGGGGACATGGAGCCGATACAGGTCGATGAGGTTTCAGCAAGGTAAAAGCAACAGGTGCACCAGCTGTGGTTGGTAGCAAAGTCAATAACAGAGAAGGATGGTTAGTTTGGGTTGCTGTATCCCAAGGAAAGCTAAAACAATTGCCTCTGAGTTCTTCAAAGAGATAAAGAGCATATTTAAAACTAATCATGATCTAACATTTGATCTCCTTGACGAGAACCAATGCTTTAAAATAACCAATAGAGTAAATTCAACTTTGCCAATGAACGTTCACCTGACAAGGAAAAAAAAAGCCTTACTTTGAAAGTTGTTCTTGTGCTGTTTCTTACTACAGATCACATCCAAGTCACTTCTAACAGCCTTGCTGTTTTTATGCTTGAATTTGTCAGGTGAAACTTTTTGTGAAAGCAAAGATCTTGGCTTCTTAGTGGGCCAAGCTGTGCACAGCTTTGCCCTGGTGCGATATAATTCCAGAGCTCTGGCTGCAGCTTGATTATTGTCCAACTGCTTAAAACCTGGGCAGGAAGCACAATTCTCATTGGCACAGAACTCATTTCCACAGCCTTGTGTTAATTGAAGGTAATATCTTTCAATCAATTCCTTGGCAGCTTCTCGCTTCCTATAAGAAATTTTAAAAAGTGATGTCAACCAGTATTAAAATCCAAACTTAAGTGGATATGTATAAAATTTCAGAACAACTATTTGTGGGTTAACCCTTCACATAAGCAAGTATTCTCTAAGTTCACATCACAAGCAACCGTTCACTGTTGCTATCAATATTTGGTTTTGCTTGTTACAATTATAATCAAATTACTCAATCTGCCATTGTTCACACTGGGATCCAAAAGATCACCAGGTTTCTTGTTTTAGTTAAACATTAGTTAAACTATAAGCCTTTTTATGTCGTCGTACATTAAATTTTTTAAAAATCACAGCACTATTTACTTTGCAGAGTTTAGGACAAATTGGCCCCAAGAGTATCAATGTTTGCAAGAGTCCTCCACATAAGAAATTGTGAAAATAACAGTCAAGACTTTATCGAGTGATTGTATTAGATACAAGTGGACTTATATTGCTGCTCCCACAAATCAATTTCACACAGATTATTTGATGAATATTAGTATTCACTTGAAACATGTGCAGTACACTTCAAACGATCTGACACAACTAACCAATGAAAAATATCTCTGGATTATGCATAACTGCATAAATACTAACAAAAACAAAGTTGCTGGAAAAGCCCAGGTCTGGCAGCATCTGTGAAGGAAAAAACAGAGTTAATGTTTCGGGTCTGGTGACCCTTCCTCAGAACGCTGTTCTGAGGCAGGGTCACCAGACCCAAAACGTTAACTCTGTTTTTTCCTTCACAGATGCTGCCAGGCCTGCTGGGCTTTTCCAGCAACTTTGTTTTTGTTT